TCTTCAATTACTTATTAAAAATTTATTGAAAATTTTGGTGAAGGTTACAATTGAGTTATAGTTTCAGTTTTATTAGAATACATTGACGAATTTTCACCTTTGAATTATATTTTTTTAGTGTCGATACAGTTATTAGAGATTTTTTCTAACTTATACGTTTGTCTAAAAACCTTTAATATGGTAAGGGCTGAACTTAATGAGGTTTTGAAATGTCTTAAAAACGATTTCTATCTATATGTAAAGTGTTAGAAGAGGGTTGTACGGTATACCTACACTCGGCCTGCCGCTTAAAATTCATTAAATTCCAACAAGAATCCACTCTAAATTACAATTTTCTACGATAAAACTTCAACTGGTTTCAAATAAAGACAGTAAAAGAATTGAAAAGCGAAAACATCAGTATAAAGTACCTTAGTAAAGAATCATTCCCTAAATTTTTAGGGTTTTGTGTGCAGTTAGATCTGTCCGATTCGATCCTTTCTTCTGTTATACATTAGGACATTTAGTTTTCACTCTCGAATACTGAAAAATTTAGTTTCAAAGACATTATTAAACGCCTTTTCTTGAATACAGTGTATTATTAAATAAATATTTATTATTCCTCTAGTTAACGTATCTGACTGCATTTCCTATTTGATTATGCAAAAAAGTTAGTTATTAACAGCCCCTAAGTTCACCAACAAAGTTTATTATCTGCTTGTGCGACTTTAACAAGAAACCGAAAGGTATAATTTATATTACTATTTAACTACTTGTGCAAAAGCCACTTTCAGCTACTGCTCTAAGAAAAACCATTTCTTCCATTTCCACCTTGAAACTCAAAATGGCTCCACCAGCCCAATATCCAAAAGATTTCTTTTCCGTTAATAAGAGATTTCTAAATTTCGTTGGCATATGGTCAACTAACGAAAAAAAATTGATGTATAACGTTTACGCTGGAATCAGATATACTATGTACATATTGTATTTTTGCTGTGAAATAAGAAGACTGGTTGAATTTAGTAGTTCGTCACTTAATCTGTTAATGGTACTGGGTGCTGCCATTGTCCATACTGCAGGATTCGTTAAGGTAAAACAATTAAAAGAAAAACGTTACGTTATGAAAAGACAACTGCTTTCCAGATCATTACATTTTTGATCAATAAATCCAAAATAAAGAACATAATGGCTGCTTTAGAAAGTAACAAGTTCAAATACGAGCCATCTGGAGAGTTTGATCCAATTTCAATGGTGCAAAGTGCCCACAAAACTGTGCTTTATATAAACATTACGTATTTGTTAATGGCCATGAATACTGTTTTCCTTAACTTCATTTCTTCTTTGAAGAAATATTATTTTCTAACAAGCGAGGATTTTGTTTTGGGCGGAGGTACGACGAAGTGCGAAGATATTATGGAATTTAATGTGAAATTTCCTTTTGAAATGGACAAAAAATTTCCTTGTGGGGTAGCACTCGTACTACAATTACCCCCATTGTTTTTGTTTGCTAGTGAAGTTGTAGGTAAGAAAAAACTGTATTGTAACCATTTTTAAAACCGTTAAAAATCATAAGATTAATAAGAAGATATTTGGATTTCAGTGTGGCTAGCCATTATAAGCTAATATCTATCTTATCTATAGGGTTGTTCGGAAAGTCATTTCGTTTTTTTTTGTGGAAATGAAAGACAGTTTTCGTATAATAAACAAATACTTTATTAAATTATATATTGACCGTTCTGGTCCAACACCTTTTGCCATCTTTCTGGTAGTAGCATAATTCCACGCTCATAAAATTTTTGGTCTTTGCTGGCAAAAAACTGATCGAGGAGGTTTTTGACCTCCTCATTTGAGGTGAAGGTTTTACCGTCTAAAAAATTTTGGAGTGACCGGAACAAATAATAATCCGATGGTGCCAGGTCTGGAGAATATGGTG